AAAACGTTCGCATCTTTCGAGAAATATTTGAAGTCCATTAAGTCAAGGGTCATATCACAAACATGATTTAAATTCCACTATTTATCAGGATTTGTGTAGGCTAGTGGTTAGCGCGCTAGTCTCGAAAGAAAATGATACTGAAGATTTTATTGCTAGGGTTCGAACCCCACAAATACCACATTATTTTATTTTAATAAAAGAAAAAAAATTACCTAGAAAATTTTCCTCAGAAAGAGAAAGGCTGGATATACATTTTCAATTTTTTTTTAATAATAAATTATTTATGAAAATTAAACACATTATTTGTGAATATTTTTTAAATCTATTGATAAAATCTTCATAAAACTAGTCACAACTAAAGAGAACATGTTAGTCAATCATATTTTAAAAAGAATTTGAAATGAAATTGCGAACATTTAGGGAAAATAATTATTTTGATATTTGGACCAATCCCGATCAAAATTAACACAAAATAATTAAAAATAATTTATTGTTTATGTATTCACCATTAAGAAATGTATTTGACTGTCAAGTTCAATTACTTTTTTACCCGTATACACCTAAACAAAATAGCATTTTCGTAAAAATGTTATATATTTCCAATTATTATAAAATTCTGGTTGGGATAAGTTTAATTTCGATCGGGATTGGCCGAACTTCAAAAAATTAATTTCTCTAAAATTTCGCAATTTCATTTCAATTTCTTTTTAAAACATGATTGTCTAACATATCCTTTGTAGCTGTGACTTGTTTTATAAAAATATTATCCATAGGTTTTGATAATATTCACAACTAATATGTTTTATTTTCATAAATATATTTTTTTTAATTTAAAAAATTAAATTGTCTATCTGGCTTTTCTTTACATGTTTTATTAGATATTCATATTATGCATTTCTGAACAGCAATGTTTTAGTATTTTTTAAGTCTAAGGCATTTTATTTGCAAATAAAACATTTTTTAATTTTCTGTGAAAAATTGGGAAAAAATCTTATAAAATAATTAAGAGCTAATATCGGCCTTTCAATGCTGAAACCATAACATAAAAGGGATGTCTTTAAGATCTATGAAATAAAATTTTGGTGTGACATTCCTCTTTAATGTAGTTCTTCACAGATGAGCTTTTTGCCTATTAAAAAACCCCCACAAATTCGCGAGTATACTCATGTTAGTACCATATGGACTTTTAAAAAAGCAACTCAAAGCAAAGATAAAAATATTGCTGTTAAAAAAAAAACGCTAAATATATAATTTTGGGGAAATCTCAAGAATTTATGTTCGATAACGGGGGGGGGGGGGTCATAGTGTTAATTACTTGAACTTACAACCATCAGCCTTTAACTCTGATGTTCTACATACTGATCTAGGAGGGTTAACCCGCCAAATGTGCAAATATGGTGAAAGTTGTAGCCTTACTTTTTTTATATACATAACCACTTCATTTGATTTATTTGATTATACATGTAGTGTTACTTTTAAATGTATGCTCTGAACAAGTCATTTTCTTACTTTATCTGCACCAAAACTTTTGAGCAGAGACGTTCTTCTTCACTGACCATTGTTCTGAAATCGCCGGATACCCACGATTGTTCTTGTGTTTTTAACGAATATAGTCATATCCGATGATGCTGTTCGTTTAGCTCTACCGTTAAGCCAATAAAAATATATTTCACATCTACAATCAACAATTAATATTCTAAATACTCACATTATTTATCCCCTTTATGAGTAATTTGTAGATAAAATCTTCAGAGCCAGCTGGACTACACGCCATTACACAGTGAACAGCTGGTGAAAACTGTTCACAGTACAGGGGGTGTTTACTATGCGTTTTAATCTCTCGATACTCTACGGTTAAGAAATGTGGTTTTAATATTTTGAATAAAAAAGTCAATTTTATCTAAAAAAATAATATTAATAATAAAAAAAAATATTTGTTTTTCTTTAAAAGATATATTATTTGATATTGTGATGACTTCGAGAGAGAGAGAGAGAGAGAGAGAGAGAGAGAGAGAGAGAGAGAGAGAGAATACATGTATTATATTCTAAACCAACATTTCTCAAATATACATCTACATGTATATGGATATATAAAAATGTCTTCTTGAAAATATGATCAATATTTGTTTTGATTTACTAACTCTGCGCGATACACTGAACATTTGTAAATTTAAGCAATGCTATATTTGAAAACCCTTCTGAAGATTCAAACATTTTATGGTTGAATACCAACAAATCGTATATCTACAAAGATCAAACGTAGTCACTGATTAAATTTTATACCCTAATTAAGGTACCCAGCAAGCTCCTGGCCAGAATTTGTTTTTCACTTTCTGATAAAATATAATATACATATAAACATCAATTTACATGTTCATTACTTCAGTTTGGAGATATGAGAATTAGAAAATCCGTAACCAAGGAGCTATCAATTTGCTAAATTTAATAAAATAGTTGAACTACGAGATACTTTCAAAGTGTATCGTATATTTAAGACTTTTTGAAATTGTATTCATTGGAAAACATTAAAAAACCACAGAGGAGATAGGGGGGAAATTAAAATGAGTGGAAAATACTCGTTTCAATCTCGGAAACATAAAATTTTTCAGTCCAGGAATCACACCTCTGCTCCACGAAATCATTGATGTTGAAATGATTAATTTTAAACAGATTGCTAAATCTTACAGAGATAGGAGCTTGAAAACTGAATATACATTTTCATATCATTTTCAATATGAAGACCATCTTTAACCAAAATTATCTATATGTAATGAGGTGCAGTCATACAAAAATAAAAAAAAATTACCTGAAAAAACTTTGACAAGAAAAGAAATAAAAGAAAACCATCTCCAAACTCGAAAATAATATTTGGCGGAGGGTGGGAGGAGGAGGGGAGGGTGGGGGGAGGTTCTAATTTTTTTCCAACGTATATTTTTCTAATACATTACACCAAGTTACCATGATTAAATTATAATACAAAAAAGGGGACAAGCAGCCCTTGAATAAATATTTAATTGTATATAATTAGACTGCGAGCCCAACTTTCATCTTAATTAATTAAATTTTACATGCTCACGATCAAAACATCTACATGAACATAGACAATTAATTTAAAAAGTTTATGATTATTTTGCCAATCACTTAGATTATATATATAATAAACACTTCTTATATAGGGCAGTTGTTAAAGTCTTGGATATTAAAACTATTCCATGCCCGTAGGATTGACGCAATGTCAGTTTTCGGGGAGTACAACCAAATATTTTCAGTTTTGGGGATGGAGGCACTACGAAGCCAAAATTTTGGTACTTTTTTCCTAATGTTAGGAAAAAAAAGTCCATGCCACAAAACCGATTTGTAAAAACACACGCACATTCTTAATTCAATGTGCATATAGATCTGTGTCCTCCAACCGAAGAACTCTGACCTACATTTTTATCATCGTAAAATTTTTTTGGGCTCGACTGCTGTTAAGGACGTACGTACAACACGCCATAATTAATAATTCCTGTTGTTTAATTTTTGTTATTTTGTATATTTTATTATTTTTATACATGACTATATCTACTATGTGTATGCGCATTTTGGACAAAATCGTTCGAGCATTTTTGGACAGGAAATTTCAAACGTTACGGTAGCGTTCATCTGATGAAATCGACAAATTTTTTTTTAAGTGAACATATATATATTTTCTTATTTCAAACTTATTGAGGGGGCGACATCCCTCTCCATCCCCATTGTATGCATCCTTCTGTTGTTTCAGTAAAGGAAATAGACATGCGCGGATCTAGAGGGGGATCGGGGTGGTCTGGACCCCCCTGGAATTTGCAGAGTTATCAAAAGCATATACTGTAGCAAATAAAAAAAAATGACTTTGGACCCCCCTCCCCTAGAAAACGTGGACCCCAGCATCACCACCACAAAATAGGTGTTTTTCACCTTTGCGAAATGGATTTTACTTCTTTTTTTTTATGCCCCCGCCATGAAATGGCCGGGGTACATGTATATAGTGTTACCCTGTTCCGTCGTTCAGTCATTCTGTCATAATTCACTTTCCGTTCATTATCTCTGCAACAGTTGCACACATTCAACACAAACTTGACATATGGATACGTCATAGGAAAATGCAGGTCATATTCGAATTTGGTCAAGGTCCGATGATTTTTGACAGAATTATCCCTCTTGAACTTTGAAAAAAATAAGAAATTTTCAGTTCCGCTCTCTAACTTTTGAAGGAATGTATGTATCAGGTTGCAATTTCCATATGCAGGTATTTTATCAAAAAATACAGGTCAAGTTCGAATTTGGTCATGGTCCAATGATTTTTGACAGGGTTATCCCTCTTAAAGAAAATTCTATGCAAAATTCTTAATTTACGAAGTAATCAATTTTTGATCAAAATTTTGTCGTATTCATATATTTGTCATTGTGATTGTTCCAAGAAATGTTGCGCCGTTCGGCCCTTTGGCCACAAAATGCAAGTAATACAAAAAGTAGGTAAAAATAGCTACTTTAGGTAGGTTTAAATACCTACGTAGCAATTAAAAGCTACATAGGTAGAAATAGTCTTTGGACTGGACCTGCATGTAATTGGTGCACATAATGCATCGCTAGATGAGGTGCAAAGAGAAGACCCCAGAAATTATATATAAAAAAATTCTTTAGAACAGATAATGTAGCATTTGAGCAACTTTTTCAATCACATGTAGACTCCTTTCGGTCGCCTACCCATAAAACACACTTTTACTGGTATGTTATTTATCTAGTACATGTATGTTAGTATATAAGTCCCTGATTGTTATTATTATCATTTGTCTAGTAGGGTATGAAATATGTTTTATTTATATCTTCTAAGTATTTACTAAAAGGAATTTCTGATAGTGGGGATTGGGGGTTAGGGTATTCAACTGCTATGACAACCAGTTGGTTTTGTATTTAACATCGGGATCGAGATTCAAAAAATATATTATGTAGAGTGTAAGAACTGTGAGTGTGAAAGTCCGTATAGATCTATATTTTTTTAATATGTGTAACAAGCAAATTGCGTTTGTATAAATTATTTCAAGTTAATTCATACACAGGTAAATCATTTTCTTATTTTATTATTTAGAGTATTCTGCTTTGGCTTCCTTTTTTCAGTGAATCTAAGTGAGGTCTAAAAGCGCGCCTGTTTCATTTGTGGCGCTAATTTTGAATATTAATAAAATCAGCTGATTTTTAATTATTTTCAGCATATAAAATGTAGCAGATGAACAGGTTTTGTATGAATCCATGGTATGAATCTGAGCACAAAACTGAAAAAATAAGCCGAAAAGTCTGAAAGTTGCAGAAGGTAAGTATCGGTCTGTGGTAGTGTTTTATTGTATGGCCATCAGGTATGGTACAAATTACTTAATTAGTCATTACATTTGGCTACTTACAGCTTGATTTACCTTCAGAGCTTTATTTGGCTACTCAAAGAGCTTTATTTTTATTTTTTTTAGCTACTAAACAGCTGCTGAATCATACTTATTCCTAAAATATTGAGCTGCTTGTGAAATGTGTATTGGAATTTTTTTTTTTAGCATGTACAAAAAATCACACTTTCATGAAACAGTGGCAATTTTCAACTTTGAACTGAGCTGAAAATGATTCAGAAAAGAATAATATTTTAAGATGTGTTTTCTTCAGAGCAATTTGCAATCAAAGTTCTAAAAGTTTTGGGGCTATATATACAATGTACAACAGTTAATTTGTGATCAAACAGTTACTTTTTGAATGAAATAAAGTAGTCTAGACCAGTTCTGGTTAACATGATAATTGAGTGGTAATTTACATTTGTATCAATGCCTTACACACATAAGGTGCTGTACACTTATTACTCAAATAAGAGAAATTACATCTTTTGCTAAAAAGTGTTCAAAAGCAGCTCTGTTTATACTATTTTTGCACTAGGTTGCCCTTTTAGAACTCCATAGTACAAATATAATAGTCTGCATGCTAATACTTTCCATTTCTTTGTCTTACAGTCTATTTTAAATATAAAGCATACATTAGAAAAGCTAAATCAAGCTACTTCCAGTGGCTAAATAAAGATAGTAGGTAATTCAAGCTATGTGGTTATTGTACTTGACCTGGTCATGTATAAATGTGTTGATAATGGTAAATAAGATATTTAATTCAACAAACAAAAATGATTTCTTGTTTATATTATTAGATTATATCAGTTGGATTGGAGTCCCCCATGACAGGAGTGACAGCTTTTGTGGAGGGTTGGGACTTTGTGCAGACCTTGGGAGAAGGGGCATATGGGGAGTAAGTATGAACAGGAACACAAATTTTCAATTCTCCAAAAAGTATCAAAATAATAGTATAGTAGGCTTTAGGGATGGGTATCGCCAATAATTTTGTATCGCGATATATCACGATTTTTTCCCAAAATATCATGATAATATCATGATATTTTTACAAGAAACTTTTACAATGATTTTAAATGAATATTCATAATTTTTCCGAAAAATATGCAGGAAAAACATAACTTCATTTTTTTAATATTTACATAATATCAAGCAATTTTGGGTTCTAGGATGTCGTTCTTTTACAGTTTTCAACATTTTTTTACACTTCCTGTAATTGTAATTTTAGAGATTGAGCAAATAAATGAGAAATTTTTGAAATTTATAACTATGTTCCTAAAGACCGGTATTTTAGTCTGCGTATCACGATACGTATCACGCAATTAAAAATCATGATATACGGGTATACCGATAAAATTGCACGTCCCTAGTAGGCTTTAAAAAATTGTATACTGTGGAAACATTTTAATTCATGTGGGTCAATGTTCGTGAGCAAGTAAAATTTTGTTTGTTTGTGGGGATATAATTTTGTGGATAACTTGTATATATACAGAAGATTCAATGAATAAATATGTTGACAAAATAATTGTTTGTTGGGATGTAAATTCCTGGAAAAGGTTGACTCTTGAAATCCACGAACACTGGTCGCCCACGAACATTGAAGATTCCACAGTATTACTTTTATGTTGCAATATATTCTTTATGACCCTTCAGAAAAAAAATATTGACTTTATTAAACTGAAACTGTGGCAATTAGAAAAATGTGACATATCAGATCAGGATTCAAATTCAGGCCCCCTGAATCACTCAGTAAGGTGCTCTGTCAACAGCTATCTGCCCATCATTGATCATGATTGATGAAACTTGCCTGACTGCCACAAAAAAAGAAATATTTGGTCCAGTTACAGGACCCTTTACCAATCCACATATAACCCATATTTTCCTTTTTTTTTTCCAGGTGTCTTTAAAAATGCTAAGAGAGTAGAAAAGAAATATTATACTATAAGACTTATTTTCATGGGGTCAAATTTTTGTGGATTGAGGAAAAAATGTACACTCAAGGGAATTTATTTCATGGTTGAAGAAGTGTAGTAACTTGATCATATTGATATGAAATTTTTACATCTTGTGGTGGACATGAATTCATGGGTCTAAAAACAAAGAAAATAACCCCCCCCCCCCAAAAAAAATTTACTGATTTCATAGAATTTATTTTTCCTCCAACATGATATTTTGTTTAAGTACAGATCGAGAAACACAGGATTACTCAGGGCCCCTCAGTTGTAATTCTACAAAACTATTCACTGCAGTCTGATAAATGTGTAGACACAAGGAGGCTGGAGGAGCTCCAATTGGTGTGGGATTACCTAATGTCCAGAACCTGCATCTTGAATCAAAATGTTTAATTGTGAAATTTTATGAAGCTTGCAGGAGAAAAATTTTATCAATAGTTAACTTTATTATTTCAAAGTTAGTACTTCAATTAAATAAATGTTGTTGTTCAGAGCATGGCATGTTATTCACATTAAATATAATTATATCACACAATTTCTGACTTTCACATATTTTATTTAAAAAATATATGTATATAAAAAAGGGAGAAAAAAGACAGTTCTAAGCACCAAAAATTGTGGGTTAATCAGGAACCCTAAACACAGATTTTATTTGGCATTATATGCAAGTGAAAAGTGAAAGAGAGAATGTATTCCAGGTGAAAGTACAGAAATGACATTTTTAAGTATAATTTAATATATGCAGTGACATTTTTAATGCTAGTTAAGTTAATTGAATTTATCAAAATATTACAGAGTGAAGCTAGCAGTGAATTCAGATACACAGGAAGCTGTTGCTGTCAAAATTATTAATTTGGAGAAAAATCCTGCCGCTTCAGAGGCTGTCCGCAAAGAAGTAAGCTTAAAAACTTTTAATTGACAAGGTCTATACATATAACATAATAACGTCACTCTCTCACAGGATCAGTATTAATGATTTGATTAGATAATCAACTGTTTTGTATATAATTGAACTTTGGTATCTTAAACGATTGTATCTCGGACATCATGAATATGTTGGATATTTCAAAGTTTTTACTCTTGGTCCCGTCAAGTTTGAGATAAAGAGATTTGAGTGTATATAGTTTACTTTAAAAGGAAAGCAATCTCATTAATAAGTGTGAATAAGTCTGCAGAATAAAAAGAGTTTAAATATTTTGTTAGGAGAATCCAGATAATGTTTACAGTGTTTAAGAGTTCAGAAAAAGTTTTTTTCAAGGTAATGTACATGTATATAATAAGTATTTATTTTTCAGGTCTGTGTACACAAGCTACTCAGCCATGAAACCATCATAAAATTTTATGGGTTCCGAAAGGATGGAAAAAAACAGTACCTATTTCTAGAATATGCTAGTGGAGGAGAACTGTTTGATAGAATAGGTAATGTGTTTCTTTTGTATGTGAAAATTGCAAGTTGCTTGTATGGAAGGGGAAAAAATCTTTAAAAAACTTTTTATAAAGCACAGCATGGTCATGATTAGTCAAATTAATATGCATGAATCCTCAGGTTTTGTAGATTCATGTATGTTCCAATCATGGCCCCTGGAGGTTCTGAAGAACAGCAGGGCCAAGGTACCAACTCAGGCAAATGTTGTGGCCCATGGGCATTTCTTTTTTTTCTTTTAATGTCTTGTTGAACCAGCAGCTTGCAAGAATGTTGAGATAACTCAAATTAGTCTGTGTTGTACCCCAAAAGGCCATTAATGAGAATGAAATCTGAAAGCACCTGACTAAAAATTACTAACTTGTGGCAGAAATGAAAAATTGAAAAATTACAAACAGAAATGTAGGTAGATCATAAGAAAGTTACAAAACATGAAGTATGATGATTTTTCTCTTTCTTTCTCTGATTTCTTAGAACCAGATGTTGGGATGCCCCAACAGGATGCCAACAGATACTTTAAACAGCTGATCAATGGTGTAGTAAGTCCTTAGTTTAATTATATATTTGATAAGTGAAAACTTCACATTCATGTACAGGTACCTTGAATATTTGTCCCATTGTAAATTGAATTTTTTTTCTTCAGGAATATTTACACATCAAAGGTGTTACTCACAGAGATCTCAAACCAGAAAATCTTCTTCTTGATGACTTTGGTATGGATTGTTCAATTTTTTTTCCTTTTCATTGCATCAGTATCTAGAAATTTCAACAGATGAACTCAAATGGTCATTGACAAGAATATCAAATAATTTCAGAAAAATTCAAGGGATATTGACCATGTTGACCATTTGAAGACTTGTTTTTAAAGTCATTGAATGTGTTTTCCCTTCAAGTATTTGTGATTGCACTATTGTAATACTGTATACAGGGAGATTTTCAGCCCTGTTTTATTTTTGCCCATTTTGTCCTTGCATTTGGAGGGCTAAAATTACATGGGGCGAAAATAACCCTGTATACAATAGCTTTGATTGTTTGTCCATCCCATATTTTACCAGATGATCTTTTAAAATATGCTTCATACATTTGAACAAGAAACTTTACAACTGTAGATAATTTAAAGATCTCGGACTTTGGGTTAGCCACAGTATTCAGATACCAAGGAAACACTCGTCAGCTGGAAAAATGTTGTGGTACAGTCCCTTATGTGGCCCCAGAAGTGTTGTCAAGGAAACCATATGATGCTGAGCCAGCTGATATTTGGTCATGTGCTGTAATCCTGGTGGCTCTCCTGGCAGGAGGTGATTAAAATTATAACATATTTTGCAAACTAATGTCTGAAGTGCAAATTCATTGTTTATCCTGTTTTCAATGTCTTGCAATATTGGTGAAAATGAAAGTGAAATATGATTTGGAGAAAAAATATAAGGAAGGTCTAGTAAATAAAATAAAAATGAATTTTTGAAGAATTACCTTGGGATGAGCCAACATATGGCTGTCAGGAATACTGTGATTGGAAAGACTGTAAAATTACTAAGACACCATGGAACAAGATTGACAATCTGGCATTGTGTAAGTGTGAGCTTTTATTTTCTTGCTTCAGAGATTTAGGATATCACAATAAAAATAAAGTTCAACATTGGTGCAATTTTTTTTCTGCTTGGGTCAAATTAAAAAATAATAAGATACAGGACTCAACATTAAATTTAAAACAAATAAGACCATTTGACCAGTATCTGAAAAATTCTACTAGACATGACCTCTACATCACTAGACCTATTATCTGTGGATCATTGAATGAATTTATTAAGGTACACCACCCCTTATAGAACCTAATTCTCTATCAATCAGGCATACAATACTCTGATATTAATTTAAAGCATTATAGAATAGAAAAAGGTTAACCATGAGAAATTTTCAAAAATTTATTTACTCTAGCATTAATTAATTAATGAAGATTGCATTGGGTCTATGGGGAATTCATTGAATTTGTGGCTATTAGGGATGCAATACCTTAATATTACTAGAATATTAAAATGAAAAAAACATAGTTGAATAACAACATCATCAATGTAAACTGATGGTTATCGTAAGCTTAAGTAAAATTGATATCACCGTTCTCAGGCCAATTTTCTTAAAAACAGATTCAGGGGGGAGGCTTTTTTTTTTTTTTTTTTGTTAAAAAAAAAAAACCTTTTTAATCAGTGATAAATTAGATGTGGAAGGCATTTTTTTATTCCAGGATTTTGTCAAAAAATAACAATGAAATTTTTTTCTTTATAGTTATACTGGAGTCATTCTGTAGATATATTTAACATTTCACAAAATTACCAAATGTGTGTATATTTTTCATTTTTCTCGGAACAAAGTGTCTATGTTGAATGGCTGTAGATGTCCAATAAATACGAAATGGATACTGGAGTGCAAAACTAGGAGAAAAAAATGAGAGTGAAATTTTTTCCCCGGATTGGTCTCCACATTACCAACTGTTTATTTTATTAAAGATATGATAAAAATTGCAATGCAGCTACCTCAAAATGGCTGCGCGCAGGTCCGTTAACCATAAATTCAATTTTATGGAGCCTAAGTGTTTTTTTTTAAACGCCCGTCTTAAGATGGGGCGTATTATGTTATGGCGTTCATGTCTGTCCGTCTGTCTGTCTGTTAGCTTTTCTTGTGTCTGACTCATAACTTGAATACTATTAGGCCTAGAATTAATAAACTATATTGTCAGCTGATACTTCTTGGGTAGAAAGGTGTGTCGCACATTAAAAGAGGTCGCTGTGACCTTTAATTAAGATGCTATGGCCAAATATGGAAAAATCCTGTCCGGCTCTTAACTAGAAAACTATTAGACCTAGAATCATCAAACCTGATCAATTAATGCATATTAGGTAGATGGTGTGTTGCACCCTACTTCAAGATCACTGTGACCTTTAATTAAATTGAATTTTTTTTTAACTACGTATTTTAACTTTTAAATTACACAATCCAAAAAAATGTAAGAGTATTGCAGTATTCTTTTTAAAACAATGTTAAATCAAGAAAATCCTTATTTTTTTCATTATATATTTTACATGTATTTTAGCATTACTCAGGAGACTTCTGGTGGAGAACAGTTCCAAGAGATACACAATTCGGCAGATTAGAGATCATCAATGGTTCAACAAGAATTTTAACAGACCAGCTTTAGGTATTGAAGTATATTAATTATAATTAAATTAGATTGTCTGTTTTAATGCATGGTCATGTTGGGTACATGTATCTACTTAAAGCTGAACACGACTCGTAAATAGGCATACGCCATTTTGGATATTATTATCTACAATATCAACACCAGGGTATACTCTTCGCATTCGTTACACCTGACTGCTTTATTGTCACGGGTATCAGTGTGGAATGGCAACCCGTGTTCATGCTGGTTATCTTGCATTACCTTTGTTTACATTTTATTGCAGTTACATTGTATCCGTGTTTGTTTGCACACTGCACTGACCTGTACAACTATTGTAAGTTTCTTTGGTATCTTACTTTCCTGCATTAGAAGAAGTATTACAGTTATTTTTTTTGCTACCGAGTGCTGTATAGCATACGTCCGTATACACTGATGTCGACTGATTACACTGAATAGTGACTAAGTCAGGCCCTTTATATAGGGGTTCTCAGATAAAGTGAGAGTCCGATCGAAAATGGCGGACACATTCTTTTTACGAATCGTGTTCAGCTTTAATACATGGATATCAGTAGAAGGTCATGCAAGGTCTGAGAAACACATTTTTGAGAAATTTGCCTTTAGGCAAGCGGCTTTCCCCGATTTGTCAATTTTTTACATTTCCTACTCAAATTTTAAAATTGCAATAAAATTATAGAGACATTTTGAATCCTTTTTTTCAAACTTGGTTGATAGTTTTGTTCTGAACATGTCCATGTTGTTCCTCCAAAAATTGTACAAAGAATTAGGTTGATTTTTCTCTTGTTTTATTTGTCACCTTATGCATTTGAGTTTCTTCACCTTTATCAGTTTTTAAAATAGTTCAGTAATATATTAGCATTTTATTTTTCTCTCCTTTCCTCTTGAAATCAATATTTGGATACTGTCAAAAATCTTTATTTTATCATTAAAAAATCACACCTTTATTTGCTTGGGAATGGGCACTAACCTTTGAAAAATTGGCCTATCATTTAGAAAAAAAGTACTGTGGACATTAAACTATGATATTTGTGTAAGTCCCTATCATGCTAGAGTTTGTTTGCACATTATTGTAAAAACATGACTGATTAAATGTTTTTGTTACAGGTCAGCTGAACAGGCTCCCATCCTCTCCCACTAGTTCCCCATCAGGAACTGGACCTTTTAAACGTGTTTGCTCAGGAAATGAACTCTCACCTCCATCTCACTCAAAAGAAAGGTACAGTTGTACATATCTGCAAATTTATTCATCTACATTTGAATTTGAATACATGTATAAATGCTCAGAAAAAGATTAAGCATGTGAAGTTAATTTAATTTTAATCTCAACGTTTATTGAGTTAATTGATATTTTTAGGTTTATGCACATATCCTCCTCTCAGCCCGAATCCCGACAAAGGTTAGGATCTGAAGGTGACACTAATTCCCCAATGGATCCTGTGGACAGGCAGTTTTGTTTCTCTCAACCTGTTCATCCAGATCACATGTTGCTCAGCAGTCAAATTCAGGGAACACCAGGATCTTCACAGGTATTAGATGCACTCCAAATTGTATTTACACAGTGATATTAAATGTTTCATCTCCACTCCAAATAATGCAATAAAAAAAATTGTGTGAATAATTGTAGAAATTTGTCATTGTCTGATTGTCATTGGTTAAATATTGAAGGTCTGATTTATTTTTGCCATCGGTTTCTTTGACCAGAGGTGACTTTTAAATATTCATAATCTTTTGCAGAATCCATGGCAGAAACTGGTTCGTAGGATGACCCGGTTTTTTGTAAAGCCTGATAGAGATGGAACCAAGAAGGAGTTGGAAAAAGTGTTTGAACTCCTGGGATACAACTGGAAGTTTAACTCTCCAGGAATGGTATGCTGCACTATAGGGAACAGGCACAATAAGGAACTGTGGTTTTGAGCAGGCATTTTCATTGCTTTAAAACTTCTTGTTTAGAATGATGTATAAAATGTGCAGAACATGGCTTAAGACAAGAGAACTGATATCTTGTGAATACAACAATTTTATATAGGATTTTAATAAGGATTAAAAGCGACATAAATGAAAAAAATCCGTTTTTATTTTATTTCAGTATTTCTATATTCTTAATTTTAGGTCACGATAACAACATCAGACAAAAGACATATCCCTTTGGTGTTCAAAGCCTGCTTTCTTGAAATGGATGAAAACCTGCTGCTAGATTTCAGATTATCAAAGGTAGATCTGTTTTATAATTATAGATGTTACAGATTATAGATGTTCAAATTTTAATTTGTGTCGCAGTCATATGTTAAATTTCATACAGTCAGTCTTACCTTTGCAGTATTCAGAGGGATTTCTTTGATAACTCACCATAAATTAGAAATCCTTGTTAACAGAACTAGTAGACCAGTTAGTATTATTCTTTCCTTCTCTGATTGGTAAATGGTTGATTTTATTTTTCAGGGGGATGGTCTGGAATTTAAAAGACACTTTATAAAGATTAAGAATCAGATGAAAGCCATTGTAAGCAAGGTACCGCCTACATGGCCTTTGGTACCCTCCCAAGTCACATGATCTGTGCCATATGTCATTAAATCATTCTCACAAATAAAGCAATTTATCATTTGGTATTGCATTGAATTTTCTTTATTCTTGAAAAATCTGCATGTATTTTGCACCAAAATATGACCAAAAGAAATGCATTATATAGTAGTTTCCATCTCTGAGCATACTGTAAACCATCTATTATTGGAGACAACTGTTATTTGTGATTTGTCAGTTTGAAGTCTATCCACAATGACTTATTTTCTTGACAGGGGAATTATTCTGCATAAGTACACAAAGAAATAAATAGCTTCAGCAAGAAAATTTGTGAGAAAAAAATTGCAGAACTAGTGGATATTTCTCACAGGCAAATAAAAGTTGGTTTACAGAATTCTGGATTTAATTGATATCATCTCTAAAAATTTAATCATATGGTAGTCTAGGGTGGTGCCTTGTAGGCTATAGGCAAGGGGACATTAAATCTCATTTGTCAGTCTGTCACAAAAACTTTAACCTTGGTCATAACTTTTCCAAACGTACTGTTTTTTGACCCCATGGCCTTGAAGTTTCACCTACTTTTCAAAATTTTTAACACTTACATGTACTTTATCCTTGGTCATAACTTTTGAATGAGAAGAGATAGGGCTTTTATATTTCACTTGTACATTACATGTGAAAAGACCTTTACAAATATACATGATTTTTGACCCCATGACCTTGAAGTTCAGCCTAATTTTTTAAAAATTTAACGTAACTTTGAATGAGAGAAGATAAGGCGTTCATATACAGGTTACATTATGCATTACCTGTATCAAGACATTTCCAAACATGCTATGATATTTGACCCCATGATCTTGACTTTGAAGTTTGAGATAATTTCCAAAAATTTTATCATTAATTTTGAAGGTGAGAAGATAGGGCATTGATATTAAACAGGGCATTCATATTTGATGTGCATTACCTTTGACAAGACATTTCCAATGTACTATGATTTTTTTGTCCTTTGACCTTGAAGGTTGACCTAACTTTTAAATTTTTTTAACATTGCTGATAACTTTTGAGTGGGAGATTATATTTGATATGTTCATTCCTGTTTCAAGACCTTTCCAAATTACATTGGTTTTTGACCTGGTGACCTTGACCTTAATTTTTAACCTAGTCTTTATATTGGTTATAACTTTTGAAAGAGAGAAGATAGGGCTTTCATATTTTACATGTACATTACCTATGAAAACACCTTTCAGAAAGAATTATCATTTTTGACTTCAAGACCATGATCTAGAAGTTTGACCTACTTATCAAAAATTTTTGCTCCAGAAGAGTCTGTGAATTACATGTGACAAAATCTTTTATATTGTATTATATTTGACCTCATGACTTTGCTCTTGATGTTTGGTGAAGTTTTGAGAAGCTTAAACCTTAGCCTGAACTTTTATTAATTCAGAAATTTGTATCTTTTTTGTATGATGGACAGACAAGACAGGACACATAAACAAGACAGTTACAATATGCCATAAATAATTGCATCTCAACCTCTAAGACGTGTATGGTTTGATAAAAATAAAATGACATTTGGGCGAATGCTTTTCATTGGTTGAGAAGAAAATTTCAGCCAAATCTTGTATTATGAAATAGAGCAGTGTTCTATTTGTAAGTCAGACTTGCAAGACTCGAAAAACCATGTATTAAGGATGTACACACGGTAAGGCAAGAACTTAAGTTCCACGACTTAAAAGGCAAGCCTTATCGTCTGTACCAGCCCTTAGACCTTTGAATGGACAGTCTCAAGTTTTTTTCTTAGAAAATTTATTCCTTGTTTCACATGCAGCTAGGTGCTCCCTATGGAATAAAGGACAAAATAATGCTACTTCCAAACTATTTTTCAAACATCATGAAAACACCAACTAAATACATGTATGTTTATATAAGATGAATAAGTTTAGCTGAATTTTCATTCAATTTCATGACAATGTCTTCTAAAAAGATTAAAATTGTATATGGTAGATTTATAAGGGTGATTGCAAATAGGAAATTTGAACACCTTTATACAAAGTCTACAATTTCTACTTGATGCACTAAGTTCAATATAGGCCTATACCAATCTGTGCATTTACGTTTTTGTTTATAATAAGTGTCCTTACATTTTAAAAAAGAGTTATGAACTTTTTTTGGCAAAGTTCGAATTTAATTTTGCATTATAGTTTAGCAAATTATCATTTTGGCAGTGTAGGCTTATGAATCTAACAGCAGAACAAAATATAGGATCTGCACAATGAAAACTCTTTTCATCTGATTCTTAATCTCTTTTTTTTCCCAACATTACTTTGCCCAGCCTTCTTTTCACCATTCCTGCAGCTTTAACAGTCTGTTTATTAAGCAAAATTGTTTCAAATATCCACCGTATGAATAAAAATGAAAAATTTTAATAAGAAAACAAACAATATTTATTAAAACAATTCATGCTACACAGTTCATCTTTAGCAGGGCCCCTCACTTTGCCATGATTTTGCTTTCATTTAAAATAACTGAAGATACAGAATATTAACTGTTTATGAAGACAAAAAAAAAATTCTAAGAAACTACGAAGATTGACCATGAATTCTGAGTCATTCAATCAATGTAAATTGTTGATTGGACAACAATTATGAAGGACACAACACATTCATCTCTCTGATGTCATTATGAACTTTCTGTCAAGAGTCAAATTTTCTTTTTTGGTCCCACACTAAAACTCCTGGGACTGTGAAGATTTCTTTCCTGCTGATCCAGTTTTCTTTGGCAGGAGAACAGCCTGGATATTGGGCAGGACACCTCCCTGGGCAATGGTCACTCCTGAAAGAAGCTTGTTCAACTCTTCATCATTACGGATGGCCAGCTGAAGATGTCTGGGAATAATTCTGGTCTTTTTATTGTCTCGAGCTGCATTTCCCGCCAATTCGAGTACTTCTGCTGCCAAATACTCCAACACTGCTGCCAAATATACAGGGGCACCTGCACCAACTCTCTCCGCGTAGTTCCCTATTAATTAAAAATATTCGTTACTTTTTCAATATGTTCTTATTTTATTGATTATTACACCAAAAATAATCGTATCCTCCTTTTTTATGTTGCCGATGTTCCAAGTACATTGAACATATGAAATATGCATTGTCATAATTTCGCAACTCATACAATTCAGTCTTATAAGTAATAATTGATACTACTGTCAAAATATATTTTTCTTACATGATAATGACGTCCATGTTGTCAAGACAATAATTAAGTCGTAGAAAAAAGAAATAGTGTGCCATGTTAATATACTGTACCTTTTCTCAAAAGTCGGTGAATTCTTCCGACTGGGAACTGGAGACCTGCCCTGGAAGAGCGACTCTTTGCCTTAGATTTTGTTTTTCCTCCTTTTCCACGACCAGACATGATTTTATCGTCCTTTTGCTCTGACACCCACAATTAAAATGGCGCCAAATACAACCGAGTCCGTGCCACAAATTGAAAGTGAAAGTTAGTTACGTATCATCTCGCGAGAGGTATCATGGTGGTTAGCAGAGAACTTGCATCAGATAGAAATCAGTGAAACAGTGAAAACAACAGTTATGGAGTTTTCTGACACACAGATTCATATTCTGATAAACGCTATTATGTCGGCAATGGGGTTCATTGTGTGTTATAACATCATTCCGAAGTTTAGAACGATGTTTATCAATGCACACCTCTTTGGCATTGACATGAGCAAAAGGGAAAAGAAACAAATGTGAGTGCAATCTTACTTTTCCGCGACCTCACGTATTTTGATAAAAGTTTTTCCATCTCGTAAATACTTGTCCCCAAACATGTCAATTGTGATAAATCTGCTGTGTGATGATCATACTAAACTTGAACTTAAAGTAGTGATACACTTGAGTCTCAAGTTTCTTAAGCTGCAGATCTGTAACTTGCTGGTCTGAAAAAAAAAATGGGTGGATGACCAGAGAGCTGTAGTGTCCCCCATTGAAAAAAGTGTATATCTATTGCACACAAGAAAGTGTGCTATTTCTGGATTTTTTTCCCCGTATATATAAGTTGCCATCTCAAAATATTACTGTCCATGTGTTCCTAACATATTCTTTTACTATTTCCAAAACAAAACATTCCCCCAAACCGCTGTTAATAGCCCTCCTCATCCTGAAATTGAGGCTATTGAAAATCTCAGTAAATATACACATTATTCAATGGCTCTCTGGTCATCCATCCCAATATTTTTTTAGACCAGCGAGCCACAAATCTGCAGGTTAAGTTTCTTGTGATTGAATATCACCACTTCTAAAAGACTCAAGTCAAACAATGTTTTTGAAACTCAATTACCATTACCCGCAAACATGGCCATGGGGGCCTACTTAGAATAATCTAACTGTGTCTTGGGACAACCCCTCACCACAAGGTCCATAGGATACCATTTTAACAACAGAACATTCATTTTATCTAATGGGGACCAGATTGTAATTGTGACAAATTTTTACCTTGTTTAAACCTGATTTTAACAAAATCACATGGACTGTATAAAGGTATTAAACACCACCTTACTGGAGCATCACTATATCTGCCGCTCTCTCCTCCTTTGTATATAAACCATACTTGGTTTCCACAGCATTTACCTTACAGATACAAATATAGACTTTGGTCCAGGGTCATGACATATCCTTTGATTATAGCCTTACTTTGTGCCAAGTATGAACTATAAAATTTCTCCATTAAAAATTATGGACTAAACAAGATATTTAAGATTAACTAATATTGCATAAATGTTTATTGTTGCATATAGGTGCATAAACAGGCGATTCTTCAAGTGATATACCGGTGTGTATTATGTAACCATTTTATCTGGAGTAAGAAGTTCCAACTTTTTCAGTCTTACATAAATGTTACATAAGATACATGTACTACTAGTCATGTATCAGATGCTGCATGTAACACATATATTTTTCTGGTTGAATGAATGTATGGATAATGTTACTAAGGATGCATACTATTAATCATTCATGCTTCAAATTGTGAATGTGTCCAATTTTGGGGGGATCAAATGACCCTGCTAAAGATGTTAAAGTAGGTCAATGATCTATTCCCCAAGTGGATACAAGTGTTACATTTACCATTCAAAACACAGAATCTTTTTAGTAACTTTCATTTATTTTTAGCCTTTGAACTGTTTTAATTTTGGATAATAATTATTCAAATAACAACAAATCTTATATCAGCCAAGTTTAAATCTGCTCTCAGTATGTACATGTGTATGATATTGTTCATCTACAGCCAAAAAATGTTTTAAATGATCCCATCCTAGATTCAAATTGCAGAATATAAACATTATACACAGTAAGGTAATTGTCTTCAGTCCTGACAGTGTACTTCTTATTTTAGTTAATTTTTTCTTAATTTCATGAAATCATTCGTTTAGGCAATGTTGATGCTTTTTTGTAGTCCCGAATCTCAAGGAATGATATGTGGAGCCATTTTCCTGGTCATCATGTTCTTATTTATCCCAGTACCATTTTACAAGCATATTTTGACAGACAATTCTGGAAATTCATTTCCGCATCATGAGGTAAGTTGAACAGACTGTAAAAACTACCTCATTAACACTCAAATAATTATCATTTTTAGATTGTCTGTAAATGTCATAAATAGTCATTCTTTTTCTCAAGAATTAAGTTATCCCTCTTTCCATTCTGCCCTGAGACTTTTTTAGTCACATTTACCAATGTTTTTCAGATGATATAAATAATTTATTTGTGAAGTGTTCACACTTACAGTAAATCTCTATTTCAGTATATTGAGTACATTGCTGCCCTTCTGTCTATATGCTGTATGATATTTTTGGGATTTGCTGATGATGTTTTGGAGCTAAAATGGCGACACAAACTGTTTCTGCCAACTATGGCCTCTCTACCATTACTGATGGTTTACTTTGTGAACTTTGACTCAACAGTTATAATCGTACCTAAACCTTTGCGCTTTTATTTTGGTCATGATATTAATTTAGGTAAGAAATTTATTCCTCTTGAAAATATTAATTGCAAGTACAATGTATAGATATTTGCTGTGGAATATTAACATTTTTGAGTATTTGTTTCATGATTTTATTTTAGATGATAAACATATGGTCATTGGAGTTTGTTGAAATATATAAAATGATGCATTTTTTTCAGGAATTTTGTACTATGTGTACATGGGAATGTTGGCTGTATTTTGCACTAATGCAATAAACATCTTGTCTGGTGTGAATGGACTGGAAACTGGACAATCTCTTATCATAGCTCTTTCTGTACTTATTTTCAATTTCTTGGAGCTGAATGGTAAAAGTCTATTACTTTAAAGTATTGATAATCATTATACATTTATGTATAGTCATTTAAGTATGGATTTAAAATTAAAGTTATTCAGTAATTTTGAGGCATTTAATTTTTTTTCCAAAAGCTAAGAGAAAAGATGACGTAGATTAGTTAAATAGAAAACTGTCTTCAATATAGCATGAAGGGTTTGCATATAAAAATCTCTTTTAGGATGTTGCAGAGAGGCACATATTTTCAGCATATATTTTATTCTACCATACACAGCTGTCTGTTTAGCCATTTTCATACATAACTGGTAAATATAGCATCAATTCTCGTGTTTATTATTTTTATCAGTCTTCTTTTGGCTGTGTTGACTATGTTTGTAAATTTAAAGATGTTTGTATTATTTTCAGGTACCCAGCAGATGTATTTGTGGGGGACACTTTCTGCTATTTCTCAGGAATGACATTTGCAGTAGTGGCAATTTTAGGGCACTTTAGCAAGACAATGTTATTGTTCTTTATACCTCAGGTCTTCAATTTTATATATTCAGTACCACAGCTTTTTAAAATGGTTCCATGTCCAAGACACCGGTTACCTAAGTAAGCAATATATTATATATTTCATTTTTATAATTTTTACTGTAGTTTGCTTAAAACAAGTACTAACTATATGCTAGAAATAAATTCTAGAAAAGAAAATGCCAGCATGACCCCCCCCCCCCCCTTTTTAAAAAAATGACTTCAAACGAAGATTCAAAGGTCAAGGTCACAAACTTGTATACATATTGTTACAAATTGTTTTCAAATGATATCTCAAGTTTAAATCTGCCCTTTGAATAAGCTTGCTTTTTAGTTCACCTGAGCCATAGACTCAATTGAGCTTTTCTGATCAAAATTTGTCCGTTGTCTGTCGTGGTTGTTGTCGTTGTCATCAACTTTTTACAATTCCATCTTCTTCTCCAGAACCACTGGGCCAAATCCAACCAAACTTGGCACAGAGTATCCTTTGGTAAAGAGGTTTCAAATTTGTTCAAGTGAAGGGCTGCACCCTCTTCTAAGGGGAGACAATTCAGAAAAAGTAAAAAAAAAAATTGGGTGGGGTCATTTAAAAATCTTCTTCTCAAGAACCACTGGGCCAGAAAAGATGAAATTTATATGAAAGCTTCCTAACGTAGTGTAAATTCTAGTTTGTTCAAATCATGATCCCAACCCCCCACCCCCTGGGGTAGGGTGAGGCCACTATGGGCGATCTAAGTTTTACATGGGTATAAATAGGAAAAAAAATTAAAATTCTTCTTCTCAAGAACAGCAAAGCCATGATAAGTCATATTGTTATGGAAGTATCCTCTGATAGTGTAGATTCAAATTTGTTCAAATAATGACCCCAGGGGCAGGGTGGGGCAACTATAGCCGAGCAAAGTTTTACTTGGATAAAAGTAGGAAGAATCTTTAAAAATTTTCATCTCAAGAATAGTAAAGCCATGATTAATCATATTTATAGGATGCATCCTCAAGTTGTGTAGATTCAAGTTTGTTCAAATCATGACCCCTGGGGGTATGGTGGGGCTACAATGAGGTCAAAGTTTTCCATTGGAATACATAGGAGAAATCTTTTAAAAATCTTCTGATGAAGAACGGCAAAGCTATGACCAGCCGTATTCATGCATCCACAGGTAGTGTAGATTTAAATTTGTTCAAGTCTTGACCCCCGGGGTAGGGTGGGGCCACTATGGGCAATCAAAACTTTACATAGAAATAAATAGGAAATATCTGTAAAAATCTTCTTCTCAAGAATAGCAAAGCCTAGATCAGGCATATTCATATGGAAGCATCCACAGGTAGTGTATACCCAGAGGTAGGGTTGTGCCACAATAGTGGGAGATCAAAGTTTTACATAGGTATACATAGCAAAAAATCTTTTTTTTATTTAAAAATCTTTTCCCAGGAACAGCAAAAACATGATCAATCATATTTATTAAGAAGCATCCTCAGATAGTGTAGATTCAAGTTTGTTCAAATCACGACCCCTGGGGATAGGGATGGGCTACAAAAGGTGATCAAGTTTAACATGGGAATATATAGGGGAAAAAAATTGTTAAATGAAGAACAATAAGGGCCATAGTAACTTAGGTGAGCATTGTAGCCCATTGGCCCCTTGTTTAAAGAAACTGTAAATGTCTATATCAAAATTTCTTAAGCAAAATCTTATTTAGATATATACAAGTATGTAGTAATTACATGTGGATATGTTTTTCATTATCATGTGCTAATGAACATGGAAGAAATTACTTGATTTTTTTTGTTTTGGTAGATATGATCCAGCAAGTGACACTGTTGGTATGAGTAAAACCACCTTTAAATATGAAAAATTAAACATCATTGGGAAATTGTCCGTGACCGTATTTAGGATGTTATTCCTCCTTGAAGTGAAGGAAGGTGTTGGAGAAGATAAACAGTATATCGAGTGTAATAACATGACTCTAATTAACTTGGTGCTGAAGTTCTGTGGACCTCTGCATGAAAAGACACTAGTCATTATTTTGTTAACAATGCAGGTAATCAATAAGTACAAATTTAAGCTCATGAACCTTCAGTTCACTCATATAAAAGTTTGCTTTAACGCTAATAATTTTCCAAAAGAGATGATTTATAAGTGAATTGCACATAATTTCAGCATTCCTTGCAGAGCAAAATTTGACAGAAATAGCTTTTTAAGTTTTAACATGACATTTTTTTCATATCCCTGCCATGAAATGGCAAGGGCATATAGTGTTACCCCATTCCATCCATCATTCTGTCATTCCATCATAGCTTTTTTTGCTAAGCTTGAAGACAATGAGCTTTTATTTTGGTATCTCTTGATATTGATGACTTAAGATCAAGGTTGAGTTTTGGATTGATTGACCCATTTTGCAAAAGTTGTGACTCTTAGACTTTGAAAATTTCTAATACCGTTAATTCACTGTTTTCTGGACTTTTTTTTTTTGCTATGCTTGTAGATAATGAGCTAATTTTTGATATGTATCTTGATTTTGATGGCTTACAGATCAAAGTTGAGTTTTGTATTGATTGGCCAATTTTTATGAAAGTTGTGACCCTCAGTCTTTGAAAATTGCTTATAATCCATTGTTTTTCAGATTTTTTTTTTTTTTTTTGTTTTTTTGTTTTTTTTTTTTTTGCTGTACTTGTACATGTAGATAATAAGCTAATTTTTAGTATGTGTCTTGATACTAATGACATACAGATCAATTTCAAGTTTCGTGTTTATTGACATATTTTTATGAAAGTTATTGCCCTTAGACTTTGAAAATTTCTAGTTCCTTTTATTTTGTATTTTTTGTTGCTCTGCTTGTAGACAATGATCTTTGGTTTATGTCTTTATATTGATTACTTACAAATCAATTTTGAGTTTCATATTGATTGACCCATTTGTAAAAGAATATATGACCCTTAGAATTTGAAAATTTTAAAGTATTCACTGTTTTTGGCCTTTTTTATTGCTCTGCTTGTACATGTAAGTGATCAACGCATCACATAGCTCAAGCATGTTATGGTATAGACAAGTGATTTCAGAAAACAAAAGCAGCAGTTATTTTACTTTTGTATTTTCTATCCATTTCTATTTTCACACTCTTGGACTTTCACATATTTAAAACTTGCATGTCAGCGGGGGGCATTTGTGTCTCACTGATGCATCTAGTTGAATCCCACTAAGAGTTGTCTCTCTTATTAGAGGGTCATGGAATCTTGAACTTTGATAACAAAGATATTTGAAGTAGTTATTAATTTTTATGTCAAGCATTGTAAAGTAACTCTCCTTAATATTTGACTAATTTTTTGAGAATGATGAAATTGCAAAAGAATAAATTAACTGGATATTTTGTTTTGCATCCTTCAGGGTTTTTTCAGGATCTGTAGGGACCAAAATAAGGCCCCATTCCCAATGCTAAAAAGGTGGTATTTACTGCAATTTTTAGCTTTAAAATTCCCAATCAATGAAAAAACATCAAAGCAGGGTGGCCTTTTTGTTCATAAATCTCCTTCACAGGTCCTCGGAGTTTACAATTTTTCCCGCAAAATTGTTAAGTAAACCTTTTTTTTTTTCAAATTGAAAGTTCAAAAAGTTTTATTATACCTGCTTTATGCACTGTTTTTTTTTCCTTTTTCTTTGTATGAAACAGTTTTCCCAATTTCAAGCAAATGTTGCTATATTTTCCTAAATGGAAGGGCACAGGCCGATATGAAGACCTAAAAAAAACTCTGCCTTGATACTTCTTTGAACTGAGGAAAGCTGGGGTTGAAAAGAAAGTACAGTATTACACCCTTATGGTGAACTTGCTAATAATGAATTGACACATACAGCTAAATGACTCCTAGTTCCCTTGGCTTTAAAATATATTGTAAACTTAACGGATATAACGAATTATGTTTATAACTAAGCAAAGTTCCCTGGCTCTTCAGTATATGCATGTTTTATTGCAATTACAGTGTTAGAGGAAAGTTGGTATTCAATAATGAATAAGAGTTGTTTTTCTTAACATTTCTAAAGAAACCTTTTTTTCTTCCAAAGTCAATTTGATTTTTTTTGAATACATGCCTTTTCATGTATAAACTTGGTTATATTGAAATGTTTGTAAACTTATATTTAATATTACAGTATTTTAAGGATTTTTTTTTTGTTTTTGCAGGTTTTATGCAGTGTTCTTGCTTTTGGAATAAGGTATCAACTTTCCAAAGTATTTTATGATTAGTGAATTCCAAATATGATCATCTGAAAGCCATTGTTGAATGTAGGAAATATTAATAAAAAAAATTATGCCAAAGGCTGCCACTATATGTATATATTAATCAAAATAAATTCATTATCTTCTGTGAGCCATGGGCTTTCATTTGCTTGCATTTATATCATGAATTTATATTTGAACAATTCAGTCATGATTTAAGATTACGTATTTTAAATTATTTGTGAATGAGTTTGATGTCACCTTTACAAAATTTTAATGAACAGTCATGTATAGATAAAAGTTTTCTGTAATGGATGCTTTACAAATGATGGAAGATTTTGGAAATCAGAGATGTGTTATTTTTCTTTTACAAGGTCCATTCCCAGTTAACTGTTAGCCTAATTGTGACGTAACTTGCATGGATGATGCATCTAGGGATGCACACTACCAAACTTGCTTCAGATGCTGAATCTTACATTTCCCAGATGATTCAAAACAGAAAAATATGACAGAGCTAGTCCATTCCCAAACTAAAAATCCTACCCAGATCAAACTTGCATAAATGTTGCATCTATGGATGCTCAGTACCAGAACAATTGTTTGTGCGAGACTTTGCCGTACTTAAAGATAACTTTCATTGAGGTGAGCTCTGTAATCTTTGATTACTTATGTTTCTCCTTCATATTTGTTCTTTCAAATATATTTATATGAATTATATTGCCCTTCATATATAAAACGAGGTACTTATAAAATCTAATAATGCTTACATTAAATGATAAGATAATGATATTTTGTATATGATTAAGTTTTAAACATAGTTTATTTGTGTTGTTATGAATGAAGTTTTAAGGTCACCTGAGTCACTCAGGTGACCTATTGCTATCCGTTCTCGTCCGTCGGCCTGCGTTGTGTGTTAACATTTGAACATTTTTAGCTTCTTCTCTGAAACTGGTTAACAAATTTCAACCAAATTTGGCATATAGCATCTATGGGTGAAGGGGAACAAAAATTATGAATTTCATGGTCCCTGCCCCCCTAGGGCCTGAGGGGTGGGGCTAAAACCACCAAAAATAATGCAATCTTTAAAAATCTTCTTCTTTACTCCTGGACATCAAGCAGTCAAACTGTTGGCATGATTGTAATGAGCATTGAGCCCTCTACCAAAATTGTTAAATCCATGGCCCCAGGGTCAGGGGTTCTGGAGCTAGGGTGGGGCTATATATATTATATAGTGAAAGTGCATTATTTCTTTGAAAATCTTCTTCTCTGCTCCTGGGTATTAAATAAACTAACTAAGTACATAATTATAAAGAGCAAGAGTGCCTCTTCCAAAATTGTGAATTTCATGGCCCCAGGGTCAGGGGTTCTGGTGTTAGGGTGGGGCTCTATTGATTATATAGTGAAAATGCATTAATTCTTTGAAAATCTTTTTCTCTGCTCCTGGGTATTAAATAAAGTAACTAAGTACATAGATATGATGAGCAAAAGTGCCTCTTCCAAAATTGTGAATTTCATAGCCTCAGGGTCAGGGGTTCTGGTGTTAGGGCGCGGCTCTATTGATTATATAGTGAAAATGCATTAATTCTTTGAAAATCTTCTTCTTTGCTCCTGGATATTAAATAAACTAAATAAGAACATAGTTATGATGAGCATGGCTGCCTTTTCAGAAATTGTGAATTTTATGGCTCCTGGGTCAAGGGTTCAGGTGTTAGGGCGGGGCTCTATTGATTATGTAGTAAAATTGCATTAATTCTTTGAAAATCTTCTATGCTCCTGGATATTAAATAAACTAAGTACATAGTGACAATGAGTTATAATGAGCATGGTTGCCTCTTCCAAAATTATGAATTTCATGGCCCCTGGGTCAAGGGTTCTGGTGTTAGGGTGGGCCTCTATTGATTATATAGGGAAAATGCATAAATTGTTTCAAAATCTTCTTCTCTGCTCCTTGGTATTATTCAAACAAACGAAGTGCATGGTTATGATAAAAAAAAAATGCCTCTTCCAAATTGTGAAATTAATGGCCCCTGGGTCAGGGGTTAGGTGAAGGGGGGGGGGGGGGGGGCTCTGTTGATTATATATTGAAAATGCATAATTTCTTTCAAAATATTTTTTCTACTACTGGTTATAAAGCAAAGAAACAAGTGTATAGATACGATGAGCAAGGATGCTTCTTCCAGAATTGTGAGTTCATGGCCTCTTGGTCAGATGTCCTGGTGTAAAGGTGGAGCTTTATTTTTTTAATAATATAGTGAAAATGCATTTCTTTGAAAATCTTCTATGCTTCTGGGCATATTTGAGGCAAACAGAGTAGAAGTTTTAATATGCATTTAGGTATTTTTACCAGAATTTTGAACACCTGGACCATTTAGTCAAGTGTTCTGGTCCTGTCTAGCTGAGCAAAGTTATTCCCCTTTGCCATTCACCTTTGATAATTAATCACTGTAAACAATGTATTTGAAAAGTTAATAGAATACGAGAATTATGCAAGAATATTTATTGTAAAATAAAAAAAGTACTTTCACAGTTTTAATGATCAGGTAGACTTGGAAATAATAGATGAATAAAATTGAGACAAAAAAAACTTGTCTTTTTAAATGTTCTTCAAAGGCCAAGAGAGGCCAATGTGAGAAGTAAGAGTATGGGATTAAAAAATAGACAATTTGTTAAATAGTCTGCATGGAAATAGTGATAAATGGGAGACAGATAGATACTAGACCAATTATTTTGTTGATGCTAATCATACTATATTTCTTGCTTTTGGGCAACAAAGCTTCATTTATCAGTTTGGATCCTCTAAATTGTTGTATTGTACTCAGGTGACTGTTAAGGCCCTTGGGCCTCTTGTTGTTTTAAACTTTCAATATTATTATAGGCAATTATTCCTACCTATATAGTTGTGAGATTTTAAAAAGTGAAATTAGTATTTGAAACTGAACCTTTACTAGTAATTATTAGACAGTGTATAAAAGAAGCAATGCTTTTCCAGAAAATAATTCACTTTTAGTTATATGTAGGAAGAACTTGTACTTGTAAGCTCCCCTTTATCAGAATTCTCTGATAGAGTTAAGCATTGGAAAGTAAAAACAGCAATTTTGTAAAGCAGCATAAAAACATTTTAGCAATATATTGAATAACTTTATAGATGTGCCCACTTCAAAAGGGAGTGTATTAAATCTTACTGTAGCCAATTATCTGTAACTAGCACATTTGACCCCTCTTGTGTTATTATGTAAATGTACACTGGCCAGAACTAAATGCTATTTATAGATACATGTAGGAGTAAATGGAGTCTGGTAATAATTACAGCATTTGGTTTATGTTGTAATAAATATGTACAGAAATAACCATAGAATCCATCATGTTTTTAAAATGATGAAAAAGAATACTTATTTTTTAACCAGATTGGAAAGCAAAACCAGAAAGTGTAATAATTTTATGTACATGTTTGAAAAGTTATTTTTATATATACAGTGAAACCTCATTATCTTGAACTCAATGGGAATGAGAAAATACTTCAAGATATCCGAGTATTCGAGATATCAGGGGTAAAACACTTAAAGAATAAGTGATTAGGATCGACTTCCAAAAAATCACTTGGACATATCCATGGTATTCAAGATATCAGTGTTCCAGATGCCGACACTCAATTGTGTGTATATATATATATATATATATATATATATATATATATATATATATATATATATATATAATATATATACATGTATATATATATATATATATATATATATATATATATATATATATATATATATATATATATATGCTTTTGACTTCTAAGTATTTAATGATACCTTTGATTTCTTGGGCTACTTTCAGATTTTTTTTGTGAAACAACTGTCTATTAAATAATATCATGATTTTCTAGTCAGGCTGTTACTAATAAATTATGGAATAAATTTGGTGTTCTCATGAAAAAAAAATCTGTTGGTTGTCAAACTGTTTTTTAAATCATAATTCTCAAACAGAAAAAAATACAAGCTATCTATAGAAATGCTTTATAGCTCACCTGAACCAAAGGCTTGAGTGATCTTTTCTGATCATCTTTGTGTATTGTTGTTGTCACCCTTGTCTTAAACTTTTCACGATTTCATACTTTTCTGCAGAATCCAATGGCCAATTTCAACCAAACTTGGCACAGAGTGTCCTTGGGTGAAGGGGATTCCATTAAATACATAGAAGGGACATTCTCCCTTCAAGGGGAGGTAAGTAAGAAAAGGCATAAATAGGAGGGAGTCATTTAAAATCTCCTACTCAAGAACCAATGTACCAAAAAGGTGAAACTTAGATGAAAGCTTCCTGACATGGTGTTTATTTAAGTTTGTTCAGTTTATGGCCCCTGTGGAGGAAGGGTGGAGCCATAATAGGGGATCAAAGTTTTACACTGGGATAGATAGGGAAAAAATCTTTTTCTTAAGTACACAGAAAATCTTTTAAAATCTTTTTCACAAGAACAGAAGGCTTATGATTAATCATATTGATATGCAAGCATCCTCAGGTAGTGCAGATTCAAGTTGTTCAAATCATGGCTCTGGTATGAGGCCAGAATAGGGGAACAAAGACCTAGGAATATTAAGAAAAAAATCTTTTAAAAATCTTCCTCTCATGAACTGCTTAGCCATGATTAGTCATGTGAAAAGGCAAGCATCCTCAGGTAGTGCAAATCGTTTTATATCATGGATCCAGGAGATGGGGTAGGGCCACAATAAGAGATCAAAGCTTAACATGTATATAAGAATTCAGTACAAAAAAAATTGTTTCAAGAGTAGCAGGTCCCAGCAAATCATTAATATGCAAACATTCCCAAGCTGTGTGAAATCGAACTTTTTTTTTTTAAATATTGGCCCCTCGGATCAGATTTTATTAATGCATGATGTATACAGGAAATAATCTCCAACAAAACAGAAGACTGTTTTTGTCATCTTGATATTGAAGCATTTCAGTGTTGTGTGGATTCAAATTCCTTTGGGGTTAGAGTGGGGCCACAATAGGGGGGTCATAATTTTTAATGTAGATAAAGAGGGGAAGATCTTTTTGAAATTTTACGATGAAGAACAAGGCTAATGTGATTCAGGTGAGTGTTGTGACCCATAGGCCTCTTTTTTTTGTATATAATTGATACTGTTAAGACAATCGTCAGCTATGTACTCATGCATTAAAGCGCATTTAAGGAAAGAAATGGAAGAATTATTTCAGTGTAACAAGGTGATGCCTCAATGTACACTTTAGTACTTATTTTGAAGATATACAGTAAAACATGGTTACTGCGAAACAGACATTGCAGACACCTATTTACAACAATATTATG